CAGCAATAGAGCTTGCATCTCATCATCTAACTCCATTTTGATAGTTGCCAGTCGATTCACCAAATTTTGAAACTCACTGGTGTGTTCAGTAACAGAGACACCTTTCACCTTCAAATTTACAAGTCTTTTCATTAAGAGGGCTTTGTTCCGAGCAGTCTTTGACTGGGACATGTCTTCTAATTTTGTCTAGAGAGAATAGGCATCAGTCTTCTAGGTGACATGGTAAAAGATACTGTGATTGATTCATTGTTTGATCTGGCCAATGGTTTTCCGATTCTTTCGCTTCCAGTCTTCGTCATTTTTCGTTACTGGTTTAACTCCATTAAACTCAATAGGGTCAAACAAATCTCAGCAGTACAGGACATCCTCTATTCTTGGCTTTCAAATTGTATAGTTGGAAGCATTTAGCTTTATCATGGATCCCTAAGTTGACGTTGACTCCTCCATCAACTCTTATCTCTACAGAAAATGATCTCTTTCTGAAAATCAGGCTTCGTTGTGGAGTCCGAATTGGTCAAATTAGTCGAAAAAGCATTTTGAATTGCCAAAATAAAAACTGTAAATTTTTTGAAATTTGATTTGAAAAATCTGACCATACGAATGTGTTCAAAATATTCCAAATAGTGGGAAAACACTATTAGATTGTCGAAACTGGACTCGGAATGGCTCAGATCAAACCAAAATAAGTTGAACGGTTCATATTGGTGAAATCTAGTGCGGCTGAGAAACACAAGATAATTTCTCTAGTTTGTCTGGCGTCAGGATGACGTCAGCAACTTGGTCAATAGAGGCTCGGCTTGGTCAATGATGGCTTGGTCAACCGCTCCAGTCAGCGGCTCGAAGTCTGAGTCAAAGCGGGTTGGATTGATGACGTCAACAAGATAATGTCGGTGATGACGTCAGATCGTCTTCTTCACTGGGTTCGCATGTGAAGTGCGTGCGGCTAGTCGCCGGCGCGTGAGTATGGTGTCAGAAGCGCGTGGGGCGCATTGGCTTACTCCGGCGTCTTTTTTCGACGCGGTTTTCACATCTGTGCTTGTCTCATTGAGACCTTTATGTTGGTGTGATCAAAACCAGATTTTGACCAATTTGAATTCTGGGCAATTTTTGAAGAACACACTCTATTTTGTCTAAAAACACTCAACCAGCTTTGATACCACTTTGTTAGGATCATGGACACCTAGAAAAATAAAATAACAAGCAATCACACACAATTGAGACACCAATATTTACGTGGTTCACCCCAATGCCTACGTCCACGGACAGAAACAAGAATTTCACTAAAACAGAGCAAATACGAAAACAGAGGAGGGGAAATACTCTCACTCAACTCACAACTCTTTATCTCTCAAATTTCTGATACAATTCATCCTCTCCCTCTCGTCTCTATTTGTACAAAAAGATAAGAGAGAAAGAAAGAGAGAGGAAACAAACCCACCAAAATTTTCTACCTTCTGAATGGTGAGAGTCAACAATGGCAAGAATATGAAGAGAAGGGAGAGATGCTTAGCTCAGGCTTCCTTCACCTGTGGTGGAAGTTCTTGTACGCCATCCTTCCTTTGACTCTCTCCTTTGCATGCATGTGAGTTGGAACTAACAAGAAGACATGTTGAAGGTCTTTAAACAAGTGAAAATCAACCTTCCACTCTTTAATGCCATCAAGCAAATCCCTTCTTATGTGTCATGGGCCGACTCCTTTAAAGGCGCAGCAGATTAATTTTTCAAGGCAACTCGTGACACTATGCCAAGTATCTCATGGACCTTTGCACCCAAAAGCACAATCTAGAACACACGTGTCTAAAAAAGTCCTTTCATAGAGCAAGTGAGCTTGATTATCCAGCATAACACTTCACCCAAGTTCAAAAATTCGGGTTCTCACACTATCTATTCGTCTTGGATGCAATGAATTGTGTAATGTTTAGAACAAAGATATAGGATTGCGGATTGTTGAAAAGCCTTCGGTACCTAAACTTGTGTTTCTCCAATACTCTATTTTTTTATTTATTTATAACAAGATCTTAACAATCTAAAAAATATATGTATATATCTATACAATTACAAGGTTTTATCTTTATTTAATGAAATCATCTTTAGTACATAGAGGGAAATTTTTACCATACAAGAAAGTGGTTTTCATGTATGGTACATAAAAAAAATATGGACAATTAAATTTAGATAGGATAAATAATAGCCATTAGATGAGTAAATGGTAAAACTAGGTAGAAAAAGTAAGGTGATTTTCCAAAAAGGAGAGTAGTTTTAGTTAATTTTGAAATTAAAAAAATGATACTAAATTACCATTTGCTACAAAGATACTTACTATTTGCTATTCACTCACTTACTATTTGTTATGAATAACCGTGCTATTTAAAATATTACCTGCTAAATATGTCACCTTCATTTATTGAAAATTGTGCCCTCTTTTGCATTTTAAATACATAAAACTAATGACACATGATACTTAACTATTTTCTCTCCATATTTTGTCTTGTTATGATTTGTAAAAAGTAAAATATGATATGTGAATATTAATTTATTAAAAATTGTTAAAATTCACTAATTTTTTAAAATAGTCATTGTTGTGAAAAATTAATTTTTGATATAATATTAAAAATAAATAAATGGTAAGTTATTATTTATAAATTCTATATAATTTTTTTAAAATAAAATTTGAATCCATATTTTTTAATTAATTGTTTTATAAATTTCACAATTGTGAGTCAAATCTGATAGAGCAATAAGTGGAGTACTATTGAGTAGTAAGTTATGCCCGCCTAAATAGGGAGTCAAATTTGATGGAGTAGTAAGTGGATATTTTAATTTACTTATAATAAATAAATTGTGACAATAATTACCAATTATTATGACTATACATATATGTCTTAATTACCATTCGTAAACACAATATTTACCAGTCATTGGACTCTACTCACGACTCAATAATAAGTGGGGGTTTCATTGACTAAGGAGTTGTTTGAGGTGTCTTAAATAAGTGCACTTTTTGTCTTTTTGGACTAAAAAATTGAGGTTGAAAATATGGATGTTTAAGTTAATTTTTTGACTTTTTATGGAAAAATGTGTAATAAAAAATTGTAAAAATTGATTTGTAGGGTAAGAGAAAATTAGAATTGGGAGTTCTGCAGCCGTAATTGTTGACTTTTGGTGAATAGTGTTAACTTTTTAACTTTTTGAGTAATTTTTTGGCTTTTTGACTTTTTTACAAGTTCCCAAACTTGGCCTAAGTAAGGTTTAATTGACTAGTAAATTAAGTTTGATATAATAGTAAGTTGAGTCAAATTGAATAGCAAGTAGAGTAGTTGATGAAATTTCATTGATTAATAAGTCATATTTCATTAAATATTAAGTCAAGTCAAATCAAATATTAAGTAACCATTTTAATTTACTTATAATCAATTGTGATAGTACTTATATTGACAATACTTATCACTGTTAAATATAATACTTATTATTTGCTCTAATTCTAATTATCAATCTATGGTTGTCGATAGTTAGACATTTGATTAAGTAATAAGCCAAGGCTAATAGAATTGTAGGTGAAGTCTCATTGAGTAATAAGTGAAATTTAATTAAGTAGTATGTTAAGTCAAATGAAGTCGTAAATGAAATCTCCTTAAGTAGTAAATGCGATTTAATAAAGTAGTTAGTTAAATTTAATGAAATAGTAAGTAAAATCTCATTCAGTAATGAATGAGATCATACTATCACACTCTCTAAAGTTGGTTAGATTTCTAAATTTGTTTATCACTCATTATGAATTATCTTATCATTTGTTTTGCACTGACTCATCATTTAATATGACACTCTCTACATGGGATTTTTTTAATAGTAAGACAAATTTGATGAAGTAGAAACTCTCTACATGGGATTTTTTTTTAATAATAAGACAAATTTGATGAAGTAGAAAGTCGAGTATCATTGAGTAATAAGTTGAATTTGATTGAGTAGTAGATAAAGTCTAATGAAGTAGTACCTAGAAGCTCATTAAAGTAGTAAGTGAAGTGTAATGAAGTAGTAAGCAAAGATTTTGAGTAATGAGTGGAATTTAATTAAGTAGTAATTAGTAAAGTTTAAGGAAGTAGTAAGTGAAAACTCATTAAATAGTAAGTACGATTAATTGAGTAGTAAGTGAAATCTAATTGATTAATTGTAATATCACTTATCATTTGATTTAATCTAATTAATTTTATTATACTTACCACACATATAGAAGGCAACATTGGGCATAACAACACCGTATATGAATTACATAACGATAATGATGATGATGATGGTTTTGACACTGGTGAGTACAACATTGACAATCAAAAGAGTATCCTTAATTTTGATGATCTCCCAACCGAACGAGATGTTGAGTGTATTGATCAACTAATTGAAAAATATATGTTTAAAATAACATTTGATTCGGTAGAAAATTAGGAAAGTTTTTATAATATGATTTTACTAAGTGAAGTGTAATGAAATAGAAGTGAAAACTCATTATACTAAGTGAAGTGTAATGAAATAGAATTGGAAACTCATTGAAAAGTAGGTAAAATTTAGTGAAATAGCAAGTGAAAATTTATTAAATAGTAGGGCAAATTACATATACCTCCCTTGAGGTTTGACTAAATTACAAATACCCCCCTCAGGTTTTGAAAATTACATCTCGCCCCCTAAAGTTTGTATTTTCATAACAATTTGCCCCATGAGGTTTAAATTTCATAACAAATTACTCCCTAATTTGTTATGCAAATATAACATTCAGGGAGAATTTGTAATTTCTCAAACCTGAGGGAGGTATTTGTAATTTAGCCGAACCTCGAGAGAAATATATGTAATTTGCCCTAAATAGTAAGAGGAATATAGTGAAATAACAAGTGAAAACTATAATAAGTGGAATCTATTAGGTGAAATTTTGTTTGTTTGTTTGTTTGTTTGGCATGCATGTTCTCTTTTCCCCCAAGTTCCAACGCCAACCAAACGTTTTTGCTTCCTTCGTTGCTAAGCACCTCAAAAGTAGCAGTCGTAGCAGTCTCTCCTCGTCATCCTCCGCCTCCTCCATAAACCCCTCCCCTTCGAGTACCCTTTCTCTTTCTCTCTCTAAAATCTACCTGCTTTTTTTCCCGCCTTTTTCTCTTTCCTAGTGTTTATCCAGTCACTGAAAACAACACTCATCTTTTCTTCTCTCGCTCTCGCTCTCTGTCTCTATCTCATACACACACATACATAGCTTTTAAGTTGGCATCCTCAAATATGATTCACCAATCTTTCATTTTCATACTTGACATTATTGCATCACTGGTTTTCTCTGAACTTCATCGCTTCTTCAATGATTCTCTCTCTTTTCTAACTCTCCCCAGTTTCACATTTTTTTTCTCTGCTCATCTTTGTGTTATCATTCATCTTTTTGATTGGGATAGTTTTGGTAAATGTGGTGGTGGTTAGGGTTTTCAATTTTCAATTGGGTTTTGATTTTGAGGTATTGAGCAGAGTGTAGTGTAGTGAAAATGTCGTCCTCTTCGAGAGGCCGGGGGTTTGATCATCCGCCACAGCGGCGTCTCACGCGGACTCAGACGGCTGGGATTCTGGGAGGAGAGTCGATAATCGACAGTGAAGTTGTGCCTTCGTCGCTTGAAGAGATTGCTCCGATTCTTCGTGTTGCCAATGAAGTTGAAAATACCAACTCAAGGGTTGCTAATCTCTGTAAGTTTTTTTTTTTCTTTCTTTCTTGTTGTGTCTTTTATCCAAATTTTGTTAGAAAAATTAGGCTCCTAAATGTTTAAGTTTTTATACTATTAGTAGTTGAAAAATAAAGCTTTACCCAAAAAAATTAAAAAGTCAATTAAAATTGTGAAGTATTTGGAAGTAATGAATGTTTGTTTTTCAAATGCATCGATTATTTTCAAAATATTGTTAAGTATCTACTATTACATCTGTAGCTAAAGAAATAAAATTTTTCAAAGTTAAAATTGATTAAATCTTACATTCGATCAACCATGTTGCGAGACAAATTGAATAGACTAGCTATGTTATCTGAAATGGATGTGGTAGATTATCTAGATTATGCAAACTCCATTAGTAGTATTGAAGCTAAATGCGAGAAGAGTAACATTTAAGCAATACTTTGTTGTAGTTGGTTAAATTTTTATTTAGTATTATAGTTTAGATGTTGTTTGGTGTTTTTTCTTGTTATATATTGAATTTTGCTAAATTATAAAGCAATAAGACCAAAATTTTAATTTTTTAGAGTTCTTGTAATGATTTCTTCATATCTTACGATTCTTTTGGCAACTTAACACTTTAGCCAAATAGCCAAAAAACTATACAAAAAAGTCAAAAGGTTCCTTCTCATTCTATGTACTTTATGCATGTTTTTCCATAAAAAGTCAAAGCCATTCCCAAGAACTTCTATTTTTTCACCTGATATTTTAGTCAAAAAACCACTTCCGAAATGAACCCTTAATCTATGTAAGTAAACTTCAGTATATTGTTTTAGCGATAATATATGTAAGCAAACTTTGTGTGAGTACTAACAAACAAAAAAAATTGTAGGTACTTGCCATTTTACCGGCAAATGTTTTCTTCGTGAATACGTATAAAGGGCACCATCCTAGGAGTTTGCTTAAGGCTCAAAAAAATTCAGGGCCATGCAGACTCACACACGCATATATATAAATGTATGATGTATGTAAATTAAACTCTAGTGTGCTTGATTAATAGTTTCCCTAAAGAGAGTATTAATGAGGTAACCTGTCAAATTTAGCAACTAAAAGCCCTATTCACTAACTTCTTATTGAGCCAGTCGAACATTTTTTGGGCTTAAGGCGAAAAACTTAAATGAAACCTTTTTTCTACATTTTACGTAGTCGTTTTTTTTATTTAAAAATTTATGTTTCTTGCTTTTTGAAATACCAAATCACTAGTCAATCATTTGTGTTCAAGTTTCCTAAAATATCATTTTTCAACTGCATTGACTAGGACAATTAGCCATGTACACTTCCAACTAGGTGGTCAAGGGTCAATCCTTCTCAAGTACAAGATTTTTCATATTTTCCTTCGTTATGGGGGCTCTTTCTTGAGTTTGATAATTTCTTTCCCTTATGAGCTCTTTAAAAAGAATCGTTTTTTAAATTGAATATTATGGTTAATTCATTTTATCTTTTTACAGTAACTTAGGTAGGATTTTATCAATTTTAATATTGAAAATTTTCTTTCTTCAAATGTTATATTGTCAATGTAAACAAAGTGTACATTTAGAAAATGTTTTAGTCTTTTTATATAATTCAGTCCATCAATAGAAGTTTTTTTAACATATTGATAATTATACCGGCTAAGGCAATTACCAATATTCATAATCTTTGTGGGCCTTTATTACCATCTAGTGTGAGGCCACCCAAAACTTGTGAGTGTGTTGACATATACTCCCTCCGTCCCAAAATAATCCCTTTTGGGAATCTGACTTTTTTTGGTAGTACAATTATTGCACTTTAAAAATATTAATTTTCCAAAATTACCCTTTGATAGTACATTTTTTGGGGAATATCAATTGTCATAATTGTACTTTGTATTATTTATGAATTTAAAAAAAAAGACAAAATAGGAAATTCATATTGTTTTAGTCCTTGATTTTTGAAAATGGACTAATATTTTGGGATGGAGGGAGTATATATTATTTTTTTGTGTATAACTGTTGGTGTCCTAATAATTTTTTCAACTAATATAACAATTGATCAACCAATTTAAACACAAGTCATTAAAATGGGGGCCTCTCTTGATGCGGAACCTTAGATGGTGTGCTTACTTGCCTAATGGTTAAGCTGCTACTTCTTATCAAATTCAAACTCTTCAAAGTCATAACTAGTTAAATACTAGGTAAAATGGCCCCTTTTTGCAATCTTTCTTATTGTTCTCGGAGTTTATTTTGAATAATGAAGTATAAGGGTCTTGGAATATGCAGAATTGCAACAAATCTTTTGAGTCAAGGGTCTTGAAATATATCCAAATTGTGAAAATGGTTGTATAGGAATTGATAAATTGTTCGATCAAGTGGTTTTGTCCTTTTATGTAACTTAAACATGGTGTCAGAGCTTTGGTTGAGAGACGTTTTGGATTCAAGTCTCTCCGTTGACATTTGATATCTGGTCCTGTATTTGGTTTCTTCTTTTCTGTTTGGTTGACTGCTTCTTTTTTTTGTCTCTCTCCATATGTAAGATGGCGTTGCATATGAGAGAGGGTGTTAGATAGCTTGATATTCATTGTTGGGCCCATTTCCCAATTACTTGAGCATTTGTGAAAATTGGCGACTTAACAGTTCTTGCCAAATGGTGGACAAGATGTACACAACCTTACCCATCTTTTGGAGAGGTTGTTTTTATGATTTGAACCTATGCCACCAACGATGCCAACGACAAGTCTTATCATTGGGATAATACGTATGCCAAACCACCATTTTAAGTTATGAGGATAATACTTATAAAAGGGAGAATTACAGGATATATTACAAGGACTTTTCTTAATGTATGAAATATCAGTCTTGGACACTTGACACTTTGGTAAAGGTATAGGATATGTGCAATTATAACTTTATCACTTGTTTGCTACTATTAGTTTCCTAGTTCTTGTTTTTGTTTTATTATTTCGTGCTCTTTATCTTGTGCAATCTGGTCTCAATGTATGCTCTCCATTACTATGGTTTGAAATATTCATAAATAGTGGTTCTGGGTGTAGGTCGTTTCTGTGCTTTTGAGAAAGCTCACAAGCTGGATCCCTCTTCTAGTGGACGTGGTGTTCGTCAATTTAAAACAGCACTTCTTCAACGCCTAGAAAGGGTAAGCACTGATAGTTCTCCTCCTTTTTCACTTGAGTGACTTGCTAAATCTATACAAATGTGCTTGTTAATTGTGATGTAGGTGAGAATATGCATTTGCTTAGTATATGTGTCCAGTAGTTATTTGACATTTTTTAGCCGGGAAAATAGCATAAATTAGGTTTATGTATTGTTTGGACTTGCTTCTAAATTTCTTGTTGACAATATAAACATAGAATGGGAGAACTTGAAGTCAGGAGGTCCAAACAATCCTGATTGTTGAGTCTCCTTAATTTGACTAATGAAATGGCCTTAGATAGAGTCGAGTGGATAAGAAGGATTCATGTAGCCGACCCCATTTGATGGGACTTAAGGCTTGGCTTGGTTTGGTTTGGTTTGAACAGGCGCTTGTCTGTCTTGGGTTGATAACCATCCTCCACGTAGATGTTGTAGAACCTAAAGTGTTGTATGTGTGCTTCAGCTAAGTGTATGCTTCAACATGTTTGCTTCACCAAATCTTTAATTCTCCCTCCTTAGCTTAATTAATCAAGGTTTGTACTAATTAATCATGGTCAGGATTTTTTTATACCCAATTAGCTTAATTAATCTTGATTAGGTTTAATTAATCCTACTCAGTTCACTAATCCTAATTAACATTTTATACTTAGCATCAAATTGTCAAGTACATTAGTCTAAGATCTTTAAGCTCCTTGATTGGTGAATAGTGTTGGAATTAGAATCAATTAAATCTTATTTTATGGCCATTGTTTAGGCCTTGATTTTGTTTTCTTTGACGTTATTTCCTATCTTGTAAATCTCTATCAGTATATATACACAGGCTAGTCTCAATTTAGGCTGAGCCATTCTATTCTCTTCATTCTTTATGGTATTAGAGCCTAAGAAAAAATCCTAGCCGCCTCCTTTTTCTTCTCTCTCTACCCAACAACCCTACCCATCACCTCCGGCTGCCTTTTTCTTCCTTCCTAGCCATCGACAACCTTTCCCAGCTCCTCTCCTCCACCCAAAAGGCCTGCCCAATCCCCTTAAACTTCACCCAGGCCACCTACTTCCTGGGTTGAGGCCGACAACCATTCCTAGGTTGTTTGGCAGCCCTAGTTTAGGCCAACAGCCCCTCTAGGGCAATTCGGCAGGTTTTGTCCCTTGTTTCGGGACTTGGTGTTGATGTGGTAAGTCTTTTTCTTGTGTTATTTTTGTTGGTGGGCTACCGGCTTGTTTGGTAGCACTTGTTGGATTAGTTACGCCGTTTGTCCGGTGTGTTTTGTGATTTGTGTATTGTTCTATTTTGTTAACTATACACATCACCTATATCTCTAGCCACCATGACGGAGTCTCCATCTGATGTTTCCCTTGTGGTACTAGTTAAACCCATTTCAGTTAATCCAGATTTTTCTATTCAAACCATACTCCTGTTTATCGTATCACGAGTGGTGTTGAATGGGAAAAATTTTGCTACCTGAAGTCGTTTCCTTAAACTTTATTTAGGGGGAAAAGGAAAAGTTCATTGGTTTTCATCTACCACTACTTAGCCAAACGCTACAGATTTTACATGCGGTTAGTGGGATATTGACAATTGCACTATCTTGGGATGGATGTTCAATTCCATGGCGGATTTGATTTATCATATGTTCCTGTTTTGTGATATCGTTTCTAGTTTATGGCGCGCCTTATCTCAGATGTATGCTCATACTTATAATGATGTTCGCATCTTTGAGCTCTATCAGGATATTGCTTGTGTTTCTTAGTCTTCTTTGGGTATCTCTGTGGCTGAGTTCTTTGGATATTTTTAGGCACGTTGGGAAGAGTTAGCTCAATATGAGCCTATGATTGATCTTCCAACCGAGGGGGCTTCTCTTATGACCAAGCGACTTGCTCGGCAACATATCTACCAGTTCTTGATGGGTTTAAACTCTGAGTTCTAGTCTCTTTGCATTCAGATTTTAAACATATCTCCTCTGTCTTCTCTCTACGAGGCCTTTGCTATTATTGATAGTGATGAGTGCTGCTGCCGGTTGGTTTAGCCTGTCTCTACTCCAGTTTCTGAGCCTCTTGGTTCCTTTGATCAGATGGCTCTTGTTGTACAGTCTGGGTTTCGTCCTTCTGCTGGGAAGGTAATTTGTCATCAATGTGGAGAACTGGGCCATTTCAAACTTCATCCTAAGTTGCGACAACGTTTCTCCCGTGCTCGCCCATCTGGCTCCTCTAGCACCGCTGTTGTTGTGGAGACTGTCCCGAGTTCTACTACTCTAGATTTATATCTCCTTCAGACTCAAATTGGTCATCTTTAGGCTCAGTTTGGTTCTATGATTTCTCTGGGGCCATCATCCTCGGCTACCACCTTGTCTATAGGTACTCCTACTGCTTTCCATGTTCACTCTGCATTTCTTACTTGGGTTCTGGATTCTGGGGCTAATGACCACATGAAGGGTGAGCTTTCCTACCTTTCTTCTCTAGTTCTTGTTGCAGCCCAAACTGTGTGTCTCTCTGATGGTTCTACTGCCTCTGTGCACCATCGGGGCATTGTTACTTTATCTCCTCATATTACTCTTTCCTTTGACTTACATGTCCCTAATTTTGCATATAATCTTTTGTCTGTGGGTTGACTTGCCAAAGCTTTTCATTGTGCTGTCATTTTCTTATCCAATTCTTGTTGATTACAAGGTCTGAATTCGAAGAGGATTTTTGGTAGGGGATATGAGCAAGATGGTTTATACTACTTTGGAAATCCACCAGATCAGTTGCCTTCGCCTCTTTCTAGTTTTTCTACTACTGTGTTACCTGAGGATTTCTCCTCCTATGTTTTTTTCTTTTAAGACTTATCATTGTGGCATGCTCGTTTGGGTTATCCAAATTTTCATTATTTATGTTTATTGTTTCCAACTTTTAATAAAGCTTGTAAGACTTATAAGTTTCAATGTGATGTATGTGAGTTAGCTAAATATACCTGTATCACTTATATTCCTCGTATGTATCGTGCTCCTTCTGTGTTTGATATTATTTATTATGATGTTTGGGTGCATTGTCTGGCCAATGATATTATGTAACCTTTATAGATGACTATACTCATTGTACTTGGGAATATCTCATTAAACGTAAATCTGATATCTTTTCCATATTTGTTCAGTTTCCCCAGATGGTTAAAATCTAGTTTCACACTGTTGTTTGAAATATCCAATCTGATAATGGTGGGTAATACATCACTGATGCTTTTCGTTCCCATCTTAATCAGGTTGATATACTTCAACAACTTGTTCTAATACTCCTAAACAAAATGGGATTGCAGAAAGAAAAAACCATCACATAATGTATGTGGTTCGTTATCTTCTTCGAGATATGAATGTTCCTAAGTCTAATTGGCATAATGCTGTTCTTCTGCAGTTTATTTTATTAATCGCACTCTAAGTTATGTCTTGCAAGGTCTTACATCCTACCAAGACTCTGTTTCCTCTCCTACCTCGAGTTTTTGGGTGTACATGTTTTGTCCAGAACAGAAGTGATATAGGACGAGTAGGGATTACTTTCCTACAAGTAGTGAGCCCAGATTAAGTACATTGGCAGCAGCAACAATAGACTTATAGGGCTGGATTTTATGGGATTTTGTGACTGCAGAAATATTTAAAAGAATAAGAGTTTAAGGGTTTGTAAAAGGGTAGGGTTTTGGGAATGAAAACACTAGTGTTTAGGGGCAGTTGGGTGGTTGTTCTAAGCACTGTGAACAGTGAGGTGAACAGTAACCTTGCTGGATAGAAGAAGAAGAAGAGAGAAAGAAAGAGAAGTGCTTCACCCTTACAAGGGATAGGCCAATCACACAAATACAATCTCAAATTTTCATAATATTAACTCTGCTCTTCAATCATTGAGATTACACATATATTTATAGGCTAAAGACTTTCCTAATTCTATAAGGACTATTTCTCAAATTTAGAAACTAAAAATATTTAGCAACTACTAATATTCTAGACCAATTATAACTTCCAATTCTACTTCAATCATAATAGGAAACTTTAATGACTTCTAATTCTACTTCATATCAAAATAGGAAATTTGGACTTTGACCACTAAGATTATTTTAGACATAATAAAACTCATATATAATAACTTGACCCAAAATAGAACCCATGGGCAACCCTACAACCCATGTCTAGCAAAACTGAAGTTACCATAATACCCTTAACTACTAAACACTACCATGGACACTTCTTTTTGGACCAAAAAGGCTTCTTGACGAACATAGGACCCTTAGATTTTGTGTTGGGTTTCCATAACCTATCGTACTTGTTTAACCACGTAATAGATGTTGCATCAAGAAGTCCTACTCAAACTAAGTTAGATGATAAGGCCATTAGGTGTATCTTGTTAGGGTATTCCACTATGTCGAAAGGGTATTGGTGTTATGATCCTAGCACTCGTAAGTACTATCATTCTTGTGATGTGACATTTCATGAAGAGGTTCCTTTTTTTAGTACTCACCCTTCTGTGTAGGATTCCTTTCTCACTTCTGTCCCATCGGTAGATTCTGATGTTAGGCCTTTTCATATTTTTGATGAGGTTGAGGCTTCCTCTCCTGAGGCTCCTCCTCTTTCTCCTCCTCCATTACAGGTATAGTCTTGTCATCCTCGTCCCCTACCAACAGCCTCTCTGATATGTGGGTCAGGTAATTCTTCCGTTTGATTACTGCTCCTCCTCACAACCCTCCTCGTGATAGGCATCCTCCTAATTGTTTTGGTTATCTTAGCAATACTAATCATCCTGTTTCCTAATATCTTTATTATGACAGTGTCTCCCTTGCCTATCGTTTCTTGTTTGGCAAGCTCGAGTTGGAAACTATTCCTTGTTCTGTGTCAGAAACTCTTTAGAATCCTAAGTGGGTGACTGCTATGCAAACAAAGAAGGCAGCTGTGGAACAGAAGCAGACCTGCCAACTTGTCTCTCTGTCATCTTTGAAAAGACTGTTGGTTGCAAATGGTTGTTCACGATTAAGTATCTTGCAGATGGCATTGTGGA